TCTCACAAGTTACTAAAATAAGATTTAATGTTCTATACAAGTTATCTACTAATAATCTTAACTAATTACCTCAGCCTATATCTCTTAGCATTGCGTTGTTATACTTTATTTGCTGCACAATGAGTTTTCCTGTGTATTGATGTTCATAACTATGAGCATATGATCTGCTTGGTACAGCTAGTAGCGAAGATGTGCAATTTGTACGTAGAGTTTGTAGGTTCTTTTAATTAAAGTAGAGGCAATAGATAAAGAGAAGTGTAAACTGTGAGAAACGGCATCAGGATTTGAAGAGGAGCTTAAGCTTTTACGTGCAAGGGATACATCAGCTAACAATGACTTTGAGGAAGTTAGAAACAGTACTATTAAGGCTAAAAGTAGTGGATTTAATTGTAACGAACCTATTCTATTCTATTCCAATTTCAGCCTTTGGCTTGTGCAAATGAGGGACTATTGCAAGGAAAGAAAAGGTCAGAGAAAAATGTGGATGATAAACTTAAGGTGAGACATGTGAATAAGATAGTCTGTGGGGTAAATAGGGAGAATAGAATTAGTTTATGCTGCCCAGGGGCACAGGTGGAGGATTAACTGACAGAGCAACATATATAATAAAAGGGGTTAGCAATGATGAAGGTTTTGTTGTGCACGTATGGGCGAATGATGTAGGGAAGGATAGGTCAGAGGAGCTAATTGGTAAGTACCAGGAGTTGATAAAGGCATTTAAAGAAAGAGGTCATAACTTAATTGTGTCAGGGATACTGCCAAGAATTAATCACGGTGATGAAATCAATCACTTGGGCTAAATGCTAGGCTTAGGTTAATATATGAGGATGAACAGATTGGCTGGTTGGACTTGTGGGATCAGGTCAGTGGGAGAAAGGAGCTTTTGAAATAGATGGTTTACATTTAAACAGGGTAGGATCTGGCTTGTTTGTAAGGGCTATTAACTTAACATTAAAAGATGTAGAAAAAAGTTTAGCAGAGGAAATTAGTGCAGTGGTAGTTCTAAGGACAGGCTTAATTGTTACTATTGTAATTCTAGAAATAAAATAGATGACATTAGGGCACTGGTAGGAATGGAGGATTTTAATATAATATAATGGGAATAACTGAAACATGGTTAAATGTAGATAATTTTGATGACAGAAATTTCTTTGAAATAAAGGGTACTAAAGAGAAGGGGAGGAGTGGCTTTATATGTAAAGAGAAAGGTTTTTAGAAACTGTTCAAGATGGTTTTCTTCATCAACTGGTCAAGGAACCTACTTGAAACAATGCTATTTTAGATTTATTGTTAACTTCTAATATAGTAATTGTTGAGTGTGTGGAAATTGGGGAACATCTGGGTGCAAGTGATCATTGCTTTATTAGGTTCAATGTTTTGATGCATATGGAGATAAGGAATAATGATATTTTGGTTGCAAATTTCAAAAGGATGCGACAAGAGTTATCTCTTGTGAATTGGACAGCTGAGTTATTTGGAGACACTGATCAAATGTGGACATTTTTAATGCTAAATTTTTAAATATTCAAGATAAGCATATTCCTTATAGAAAGAAAAAGGGTGGCTGCAAGTAAAAACCAAGTTGGCTCAGAAAGGGTATGAAGGATGAAATTGACGAAAAACATCACAAATTTAAACTGATTGATATGATAGGAAATTTAGAAGATTATAAAAGATAAAGAATGTTGGCCAAACAGGAAATTAGGACAACAAAAAGGATGTATGAAAAAAAGTTGGCTGAAAATGTAAAACTTTACAGTAAAGATGTCTTTAAATACATTTATGGTAAACATAATGTTAGGATGGGGGTAGGACCCTTGAGGGATGATAAAGGAAGGCTCATATCTGATGATTTATGAAATGGATGGGTTATTAAATTCTGCTTTTTCTTCAGTTTTTATTAATAAAGATTTAAGAAGTATTCCTCAGTTGTTATTTGTTATTTAAGCACAAAGCTGCACAATGGTCTATTTGTGCTCTGCCCACCATGGGTATAGAAACCTGGTTTCTAGCATTGCAAATCTGTTGGGGATGGTATTTCTCATCTTGAACAGTTGACAGATGGAAACAAGGACAATCAAGATGATTGCATTAATCCTGAGCTTGTTAAGAAAAATTGGGCAGTTTAAGAACTATAAGACTCTTGGGACAGATGATATTTTCCCAAGGTTTTTGAAGGAGGTTAAGGATTAGATATGTGAGCCACTTGCTTCTATTTTTGTAAGTCCTTGAATAGTGGGCAGGTGCCAAAGGATTGAAAGTTAGCTAACGTCTCTCCTCTTTTCAAGAAGGTAATAAAAATTGTCCCAGTAATTATAGACCCATTAGTCTTACATTAGTTATGGGAAAAGTTTTGAAAAGCCTGATATAAGATGCTTTGCAAAGTCATTTAACAAAATTTATAATTTTATTGGATAATTAAAATAATTTCACTAAGGGAAAATCTTGCTTTACAAATCTTTTGCTATTCTTTGAAAAAGTTACTACTTATGTAGATGAGGGTAAGGGTGTAGATTTGGTGTATTTAGATTTTCAGAAAACATTTGGCAAGATACCACATAAAAAAGCTTGTAAAAAATCTCTATAGATGTGGAGGATAAGTTAGCTAACTGGATAGAAGAGTGGCTGAATGGAAGAAAGAAGAGGGTTGTTATAAATGGAGTTCAGTCAAACTAGATTAATGTCACAAATGGGGTACCACAGGGCTCAGTCTTAGAACCTTTACTCTTTTTGACTTACACCAATAACATAGATGAAGGAATGGTCGATAAGTTACTCAAATTTGCTGATGATATCAAGGTCTTGGGTGTTGCTAGCTGTGAAGAGGATGCTATGGCTTTACAAGAGAATTTAGATAATTTAGTGAGTTGGGCAAATAAATGTCAAATGGGTTTTAATTATAATAAATGCAAGATAATGCATGTGGGTTATCATAGTTTGAATTATAGGTATAATTTAGATGAGAATAACCTTAACAGTGTCATGAAAGAAAGGGATCTTTCTGTAATATATATATATATATATTCATACCATTCATAGATACAATTAATACGGTTACAGACATCATTAGTTATACAGACAATTAATATGTACACAGGTGGGAAACAATAATATTTATATCTACCCTGTCATCACCTCCTGAAGCGGATAAAGTCTCTAATAGCACTGGTTCTTGGGCTTTATACATCAGAGAAAACTCTGTAAAGATTCCCGATGAAGGTTGTATTCACAACAAATTTGACTGATGGAATTCCCAGCAGGAGATCCACTGACATTCTATAGCATAATCTGACTAGCTCGTTTTCAGACAAACGGCAGGAGTTCATAAGTTCACAAAACGCTTGTGCATTTGAAATTCTACGGGATGATCATCCACAATTCTAGGTAACAAATCACAGTGAGTGTCATATGGTACCATGAGAATGCATTTCCGCCATGTGCAGTAAAAACTTTTGATTGTCTTATGATCAAAATCCCAAAGATTCGATCCATATAAATACATACACTATGTTTTAAACAGACTGTATCGCACATCATATGAACAAGATCAGTCTCTTTTAGCCATTCAAGGAGTGTGCAGTTGCTAGTGGTAGACAAATGGGATTTTAGGTTGTATCTACAGAAATATTAAATACAAGTCTAAAGAGGTTATAATTTCATTGTATAGGTCACTGGTTAGGCCATATTTGGAGTATTGTGTTCAGTCTTGGGCTTCTTACCTTAGGAAGGACATTGAATTGTTGGAAAAGGTTCAGAGGAGTATTACTAGAATGGTGCCTGGGATGGAGGGGTTGTCATATGAGGAGAAATTACGATCTCTGAAACTGTTTTCTTTTGAAAAAATAAGAGTTAGAGGGGATCTGATTGAAGTGTTTAATATGATATTGTAAAGGAAATTGATAGTGTTGACGCATAATCTTTTTTCATAATTAACGGTGAGAATAGGACTAGGGGACAAAAATATAAATTTTGGCAAGGTAGGAATCATCTTCAGCAAAGACTATAAAGTTATATTTTTCTAACAGGGTAAATGGCCTCTAGAATGGGTTGCCTTCGGATATTGTGGAGGTCGTAAATGAAAGTGAGTTTAAGAGAAAGCTTAATAACTATATGAATGATAAGGGCTGAATTTTTTTTTAAATTTATTTATTCAATAGTTTTAGTTTAGAGGATGGGAAAACCAAGTGGAATACTAAACTGTGAAAGTTTATGTAACTTGTTATTAATTTTTTGGAAATAATTTATAACAGGACATTGCAATAAAAGGATTAGAAATACAATACTATGGTATGGCTTTAATCTTACAACAGAACATAAAAATTTACAATACTTAAGTCATTTTTATTTGCAAAAAAGAAAACAAATCCAACTTAAACATCTACTATCTACTTGAACATTTAAATAATCTGAAACAAATAATTTGATTCTTATAAATTTATCCAAAATTTCAGTATTTTCAACTTTTGCTAAATACAGAACCATATCTTGCTGTATGCTTTCCATAACAAACTTCAGTGGTTTAAAATTTTTTGTAGTTTCTTAACAATGACTTTGAAACTAAACTCAGTTTAAATTCATTGCATGAAAACACATTAAGTGGTTGTGGGCTAAATTATGTCTTATCTTTATTTTGCATGTTTCATAAGTTAGTAAAATGTGTAAGCTTTAAATATATAAAGCAGTAACAAGACTTTTTGCAATTATGGAATTTTACAATAAACCTGACTTATGTAAATATATTTTAGTGACATAAAGTTTCCCATATTACTTTAATCAACACAGTTTATCCTTTCTAAATATTCATATGATCAACTGTTAGAATATAATTTTAATATTTCTTTTTTTATATTTTTTAAATTTGTCTCGAACAAATATTTGCATTTCTTCAAATTACTGGTAAAACATTCAAAGTTCAGCAAAAACAACAAAAAAATCAACAATGGAATAATTTTTTTTTTACATACAATAAATTTATTACACATCAGTGCTGGCAGAATACACAAAAAGCCACCTGAGGTACTTTCTAAAGGACTCTACATGACCTCAAGCTGTATTAAACAAAAAATATCTTGGTGTATAAGATTGCGAAACACAAGAATGCACCTAGTCAATATGATAAATAGCTGATATTTGTTCAGTCAAATTTATGTTAAACATTTAATGAAGGTACTAATGTTGCTAGTCAAGATAATATGGTTCCTGATTTCCTGTTACATAGATAGGAAATGTTCCTTTTTTTGTTCACCTCTATCAACAAAAGTTCAGAACACCCAGCTATGATGAAAGTTCACCTGTAAATAAAACAAATTAGAAGACACAATAATAAAACTTTCATAGGAATTACCTAAAAACATTTTTACAAAACATTGGATCTTCTTGAAGTAAAAGCCAAATTCTTCCATCATTTAATACCTAAAACACATTTAATAGATACAAAACTCACAAATGGTACGACATATAATTTGTTTCTTGACTGTTATAACTATAATCCATTAAGAAAGTGGATTAGAAAAACATACTGTGGAGAAAGTTTAAAAAGTGTTAGTTATGACAGTTTATAAAATTTCTAATTGAATCATACAAAGAGAGAAACATGTGCATCAAATTTAGAAAAAATAAAACACAAGTACAATTACATTTCTAGTCTAAAACCTACAATCTTCTCCAATTTTTTATAGTTATTTCCATTGTTTCATTTTGTTTTTAATTGTACAAATTCAATAATCTCATTAAACTCTTGACTAATTTTACTAAACTACCTAAATATCAGAACAGCAAGGTATTAAATTACCTGTAATCTATCTTTGCTTCTTTATCTAAACTACCCTTCTTTGATAGTCCAACCATAAACAATCACATATTACTATAATCAAGATTTACTGAAAAACAATTAAGAAGTACAGTCTAAAGGCACATACAAACAAAGTGTTTTCTATGTTAGTTACATTTTTCTGATGTATTCTGTATATGTCAATTCCTTAATCTTTATAAGATAACTTAATGTATTACCATATTTTAAGCTTTAAGCTCTATATGAAACAAAAATTACCATCAAATAACTTTTCATTGATAACTTCAAATTCAATCCTGCCAATAAGGATTAAGTGTTTAGAATTTCTATGTGCATTCAAACAGATGGATACTTAATATCTTCCTGACAGACATAATTTCAAAATACTAATCTTAAAATTGTTTTACTTAGCTCTGTAAAGAATTAAATTGAAATCAACATCTTTATATAATATTTCTCTAAAAGATCGTCAGTAAAACTTTACCAATTCCAGTTGCCTTTGCAAACTAATAGATAATACAAACATCTGCTAAACATTTGAAAACAAAAATAGTAACAACATCTATGTCTGTAATTAACATGAATTTCATACTTTACTGAACTATAAAGCCAGATTAAGACACAATGATATCCTGAAAAAATAAAGAAATAGCATCATAGAGGGCTACACTCAAATATACCTCTTTTAACATGGAACAATTTCTTTTAGTAACTCAAGTTTTTCAAACACTCTAATATAATTAACCACCAAAAAAAACATATGTCCATCTTGATATAGTAATAAATTATGACGAATCCCAACTGATATTTCTAAAACCCACTGTCTTGTAGTTAACAAAAGTTATCATCACAATAATTTAAAATTTTGCCTCACTTAAAAATATTACAAATGAATGTGATTATGTGTGTTGTGAGATATCTATTTACACACAAATACACACACAAAACTTCACTAAGTTGATAATACAAAACCTCTAAAAACTTGACACAAGAAAGAATTATTAAATGTTCTTTTTTCAGTCTTTTCCTAACATTTTCCACTTTAACAAATGTTTAAACTGAACTTAGGAAAGTTAAACTCCAGACAGACTTCTTGTTTGCTTTGAACATGGGATTGATTTAGTTTGATAAGCTTCATTTAAAGTAAATTTTTTTTATTACAAAATCTTCTTCCTGCATAAAAAATTGGAACAGACACCCATGAAAAGGTCCAAGTTAGCTGTACACAAATTAAAATACAATTCTACATATGTGACACTAGAAATCATACGATCTTTTATGCAAGTTACTGAAAACAATAATAAAGTAATGAAATGAACAACTTGGTAATAATTATAAGGCCAATGGGAAAAATTCAAAACAAAATATTTGGATAGTATTTTAACCATCAGTTATTTTGTGTCTTAAGAAAAGATGAAATGAGACACATAACCGTTGATCCATAATAAGAAAACTACATCTAAATCAAATAGTGTTTTCAAATAATCTAAAACAATACATAATTTAATATCAAATAAAAGGTTTTTCTGGAAATCTCCAGCTATATGAAATAAATTTTCTGGCAGAAAAAAAATATATTTTATAATTCTTCTCTAACAGGACAGTGAAATTTTGAAGAAAATAAAAAGTTCTCACAAATTGAAGTTACTTCACATTCCAAAACATTTAGTTTATCGTAACTACATAAGAACATTATTTCTACAATAATCCTCATGAATAGAAAACTGTTTAGATCTAGGACTTCTTATTACTGTTATAGAAGAAAGTATCTTACAAAATGTAAGTATACAAATGCAAGCCAAAAATTAAAATGTACATGGCAAAAAGCCTTCTACAATCACAAGATAAACCTGAAGTTGCTAGGTACAATCAAAAGACACAACATCACATCTTAAAACAAACTTTCATTTCTATAAAACCTGAATTAAGAGAATAACTAAATTTTGTTTAATATAAAACTCTAATAAACCTTTCATATTAGTCAGTATTTATAGATTACAAGTGTTTACTATTAAACTTCCTCGTGTGCTTCAAGAACTCATTTATACCATCAATAATTTCCTGTAAAAAAAAAAATCTCCAAAATAAACCAATTTTTTTCTAAACACATGGATAACATCCAGAAATGCTTTGTTATTTTTTATGCACACTTTTTAATAGGTTGTTTTTTAAAAATAATAAAGCAGTGACTTGAAAAGCAAATATTTTACTAAGGTTAAGCACTGGGATATAACTCAAGACTGGTACCACAAATATTATATATATATTTATATATACAAAAAAATTCCCTTTTCATTACTTGTGGGATGCCAAGCATCGTGAAAACATTACAAACTTCTGGTTATAAAGGAGTTACTTCCACAAAACAGGCACATTTACAATCCCTGACTTTTCAGCTGGAAAACATTATAAATAATAATATATCAATTTGTTCAGAAATAATACTCAAATGTCACTGTGATTACAGCTCTGTCATTTGGCAAGAAATATTAATTAGATGCAACTCACAAGCGTATTTCACTGATTTCTTTAAATTTCATGTATGCAATGAAAAACCTGTAAATCTTAAATATAATTTCTTGATTTAAATATTTTTCTAAGTCTTTCTCTCGTTCATTATACTTGTGAATACTTTGATGCAAGTGCAGCAAACATTTACTAATTGGTTACTCAGATATAAATCTGGCAACATTAAAAGTTAAAAATGCAGCTTTCACTAAACCAATTATTAGACAATATTTTATTTAAACTGATGTATTCCTTTATAACACTTGTGTTTGTCACGTTTAGTTCAAAACTACAAAATGCTAACAATAAACATGCTCCATACATCAGGGAAATACCTAGTGAAAGGGAGTCAAACACACTGATAAAGCATTTTGGCCTATGTACAAGCACTCTGTATTCTTACATGCAATATAAACCTTTACTTACTAAGGCTTACAAGAATTTTCAACAAACAAAAAGATACAAGCCATAAATGGCTGGACTGGTCTAAGATGCAGACAATGTGCTGCACTGGGGAGTCGGTTAATATTTTGTTACCACTATGAGTCCAAATGTTTCTACACTGCTGCTTGTTATCTTTAACATTCACTCTTCTATTCGCTTGCTCATCATGTTAGGCTTAGCTGCCAGTTAGTCCAGCAATTCAACAGTGTTAAAATCACGCTGTAGCTGTTGATGCTGAAGCTTGGGCAGATGATGAAGCCTCTGCACTAGATCCTGCCATGGCAACAGAATTAGCAATCTCTCCAGTTCCCATACTGCCACCACCTAGACATGGGTTTCCATTACTACCAGCTTCTTCTGAATTCCCTCCTGGATTAGCTGAGGTTACAGGGTTTTGAGGATTTCCAACGTTGTTGCGAATATGGGGAGGAATAAGAATAGAGTTCAGTGATGGCTGGATTCGCAGTTCTAGAAATGAAAAAATAAAAATAAAAAATCTAATACAAATCAAAACTTAAGTACATTATGATGGTCTAATTTCACAACAGTTACTGAAATAATGAAATCAAGATTCACATAACAATAAAACGTGCTATCAAGATAAGAAAACCAGATAACAGTTAGGGTCTGCATTAAAGCAAAATATGTTAACTTATTTAGCTAACTGTCATTATTTTTTCTTTTCTCTTTATCAACTACATCACCTACCCTAAAGAAATAGGTTTATTTAAATTAAAATGGACTACAAACCCAAAATTTAATTTAAAATGAATGCTGTAAGCAAATAAAAGAGGAAAAATAGAGATTATGGAGCTTAATAATAAGAGAAATGATATATATACTTTGCAAAATACAACTTTGTTGATAGT